TTCGCCACCAACGGTTTGCCTGCGGTTTTGACACGTCACCAACAATCCTAAGCGGTTTTATATATGCCGTGACGTCATTCCATCCATACAGTAAATTCTGAGAAGAACCTGTTTCGAGAGAAAATGATCACGGAAACATCATCAGCAACATGTGCTGAACGCGTCCCCTCCACCCGCCACCCCCACCCCCATCCCAACCCATTCCTCACCTCAGTAATAACTGAGATTGATTTAAGATTGATTTTCTGGTCCATCAACTGATTCCTGCTTGACGGGTAACATTCATCCAATGGCTTACAAAGTGTGTGTTTGTGTGTGTTTGGGGTGGGGAGTATGTGTGTGTGTGTGGGGGGGGGGGGGGGAGGGTGTAGGTGTGAATGTGGGTTTAAGGTGTGTGAGGTGGTTTCGTTGTGTTTGGGTTTGTTTTTTTTGTTGGTTTTTTTTACGCCGCACTCAGCAATATTCCAGCTATATGACGGTGGTGGGTGTTGTTGTGGGAGGAAGGCATACTTAGATTTTGTAATTATGGAAGAAATCTGCATATTTCTGTTTCAAATACTGGACACGTAAAACGATAACGGAATTCATATCTTATGTCTTACTTTCACAAACATAACTGACTAAATATAAGTTTCCATAGGAGGATGAAAACATCTCGCAAACTGACATTGTCTCCAGGCAGAAGTAAATGTCTTACGAGATGGGACAGATACATACTTAATACGATAAAAACGTCTGCCTTTTTCAGTGTGCATGTCGACAACAAATAACACACAACGTATAACAATGCGGTTTTGACACGATACCAACAATCCTAAGCGGTTTTATATATGCCGTGACGTCATTCCACCCATACAGTAGATTCTAAGAAGAACCTGTTTCGAGAGAAAATTCTCACGGTAATCATCAGCTTGAATAGTTTAATCCTATCCAAACAGTAAATTCCTGAGAAAAACCTGTTTGGAGAGAAAATGATCACGGAAATATGATCAGCTTGACTAGTTTTATCCTATCCAAACAGTAAATTTCTGAGAAAAACCTGTTTCGAGAGAAAATGATCACGGAAACATGATTAGCAACAGGAATCGATCTGCTGAACGCCTGCCCCCACCCCTACCCCCATCCCAACCCATTACCCACCCCCAGTAATAACTGTCAATAAAAGATTGATTGTCTGGTCCATCACATGATTCCTGTTTTGTTTTGTTTTTGACGCCGCACTCAGCAATATTCCAGCTATATGACGGTGGTGGGTGTCGTTGTGGGAGGAAGGCTTCTATATTTTCAAACATCGGAAGATAAGGTGAGGTGAAGTGGGGTGTAAACCCTTTAGAACAAGTACCACCTTTAAACCTATTTTGCATGATGGCAGGGGATCAAAACCCCGATCATCCTTTTTTCAGGAAGACGCATGACCACGTAGGTGGTCTCATACATACGAACAAATATGTTTCAACAACATTACACGATAGCTGATATAAATAAAATATCGAAATCACAAACAAGCTGTGAAGGCACTTGACACTTGATGTACCTGGCAACAGGGACTACTTCGCCATTGCTTCAGCCACATAATGACAAGAATAAATTATGGAATTATACACATGGTGTCCATACATCGACATATATGGATGTATTGTATGTGCAAGCATTCTGTCTAAGGGGCCTGAAGTTAGCAGCGGGTTCGTTATTCGTTCTTCGTTATTTAAAGGCTGTATATTAAGCAACTACAGTAATGTGGTCAAATACACTGAAACTCATTTAATATATGACAGCAAATTCGTCTTACATCGTCCAAAAGCTGTTACGTTTTTCAGTACTTTTGAATAACGAAAAATTAAACGGCAGCATTTTAGTTTTCAGTTCATGTCCAACAATTTGACAAATGTAAGGTAGTCTTTTTTATGTTCAAGCAGTTTTTAGTTACTAAGTGCTGTCCAGCAACTAGAATCTAAACAGCACCACTCATCATTTATCAAAACACAATACCACTTACACTCTTGTATAATAATTTTCATTACAGTTAAATGTAGTGTAGTTACCCAGGCAGTATTTTCTATAAAAAAGTCGTTCTTCAGATAGCAGTTATGTTCATTCTATAGGTAAATATGCTGTGGACAGGAAGTTATATACGTCACAATGCAAAACTGATCCATCTGACTGCTATAAGACGAAATGGCATGGTATCTATACAGACAATATACACTTATGTTTACTGAGGTCTTGAACGCTATACTGAACTATAATCTAAGTTTACTGCGCTATGCAAGATGTTGTCTAGAACTGTGCAAACAAACGTGAGGTTAACGTGTCACCTATCTGATGAATACAATCATTGGATCCATTACAGGTCGTAGTCAACGATAAAGTTACAAACCCAAACAAATCTAATGTCATAGTATCAGACATTCGGAGAGTAGTAAGACATCATACTGCAGTTGTGTGATATGTCATCACTATTCACTAACCAGTCATGTAATTCATGAAAACATAGATACATGTACATTGTAAGACTCTGTTCTTTAGTGGGTGATGATGGACACTGACCAGAAACGGTTTTTTTCTGTGGGAACGGATATAGATGGTGTGGTTGAAGATACAGTGGCAGGGTCTACGATCAGAGGCCACACTCATTATACAATTAAATTTTCCTATATTTGTTAATTTGTCCTAAAATACAGTCAGTATTTAATGAGGGCTACGTCTGCAAAGGTTTTCCCACAATTTAAGTCTTTATTGTAAAAAAGTACATAAATAAACAGTAGCAGATTCTTTTTTACATTTATTTATATATTTTCCTGAACATGAACTGAATAGCGAACCCGGTGCTGGTTAGTTTTCTCTTTTTCAAAAGTACTGATAACTTAACAGTTGTTAAGAAAGTAGCAGCTCAATAATGCGACTTCCTAGAAGAGGACAGTTCACTGGGAAAGATCCCTTTCGTTGAAATGATTGTAACGCTGTTATCAATGCGGGCGACTGTTGGCCGCGTGACTCACCTTCACTGAGGCATATCACAGGTGAAGCGTGTGTGTTTGTTTGTAGCCTTGTGTAACAAATACAGTAAAATATGCACAGATTTGAGCGAGTACGATACTATTCAGCGATACACACACACACACATCCATCCATCTATGCACGTCGCCAAGTACAATAATCTTGAACGCGACGTTAAACCCCATCTCACCTCACTTCACCTCAACACCCCTCACGTTAAACCACATTTCACCTCACCACTACCTTAAACTGGAATCAGGTGGTCCATATGGCTGCTTGAAGGTTTTGGAAGACCATATTCTTGGCAAACCATCAGCTGTCACGTAGGTGGTCTTCGAACTGCTATGGTTTGGTGCATCTGTAACGCTACTGGTTCCGCTGCTCCAGAACCACCCATACCGTAATCATCTCACAACAACAAAAACAAATTTTCCATGACAGTGAACTTACAAGCACGGATAGTTATCACATTCGACTGATGATGGGAGGGTGAAATGGGGTTTAACGTCGCGTCCAAGATTATTGCACTTATATAGCGACGGGCATGCACGTGTGTGTGTTTATGTGGCTGCTTGTACTAGTCCGGACTGATGCCGATTATAGTGCTAGCTCGCTGAGATACCATGCCGCAGTTAAACATGAATACCCCACTCAGACAGAGTATACTTGCTCCGAGCCAACAGTCCTTGTTTTAGCCCCTTAATGCCGAGCGCCAGACAGGGAAACAACAGGTATCATCTTTTAACTTCTTTTGGTATGACGCGGCCGGGGATCGAACCCCGGACCTTCCGCTCTCCGGGCGGAAGCTAAACCACTAGACCACGGAGGCGGTCAGTTTGATGCTGTACATATATGATGTGAACATACCACCTGCATGATCACAATTGTACCGGCTCTACTGAATAAAAAAACAAAACTCTGACTAAGAAACTGCTGCGCCACCCGTGTTGCTTCTATTGCTACAATATTTATTTTACAACATTTAAACAGAAATTCGTGCAGTATTGTGACACAATGAACGTGACGTCGAAATATATATTACCTAGCCACTTCACAAACTACCTTACCTCCACAGAATTTAAGTGAGTGAGTGACTGGGTTAATTGGGTTTAACGCCGCATGAACACCATTATACCCCCGACCTACATGTGAAGGGACGGGGGTATATAATTATACCTAGGAATTCCGTCCGTTCCTCCTTCCGAGGACATATTTTATGTGCGACCAATAACTTAAAAACTACTAAATAGAATCTTTTCAAATTTTGGTGAATACTTTTTATACTAAGGGGAGAGGTGCAGTGCGAAGTTTTATTTCATGATCAATATTTGAATTCTCTTTAAAAAGTACAGCTTTTTTCATTTTTTAACTTAGAATTTATTTGCCAAATCATATGTGCGACCTATAACTAGAAAACTACTTCATGGATTCTTTTCCAATTTAGGGAACAGTTTTCATACTCACAGACGAGGTGCAGGGAGAGCAAAGTGTGATTGTGAATTGTGTATTTTCTGAAATAAATATAATGTATTTCATGTTTGTGCAACCTACAACTTGGAAACTGCTTCATGGATTATTTTCCAATTGGGGATACAGTTTCTACACCAATAGGACAGTTGCAGTGCAAATTTGGATTTCGATAAGAGGATGTCCTGAGAAAATATTGCTTTTTCATGTTTTGATATTAGGTCAAAGTCGAGGTATTAGTAAGCCCTGCTCACTTTTTGGATTGTTTCGGTTATGTCACTTCCAGTCGACTTTATGTGTGAAAGAAGCACAAAACAAAGCTTATCGCTTTGATGAAACCCACTTGCACGGATATTGTTCAGACACACCGAGGTCCGTGTCACATTGGGATTTGAACCCGTAACAACCGTTTATGGCTAAGGAAAGTTACTGAATATCTTTGTTGCTCCTTAGCTACTGGTCCACCCGCTTCGCTTACAACAAATGAACGCGACGTTGCAATAGAGGAATTCATTCTAAACAGAAAAAAAAATTACTTAGACAGACATATTTATTTCGTAAATGTGGCCATGAGACCAATAAAACAATGCCATTTTGTTGCAGGACAATTTGTGGAACACCATTTGTATATTAGATATACACATATGAAAAGATAAAAATATTATAATTGTTATCAACGGGTGTATTTCTGAATTTACTAAGAAACTGCTTAGATAAATGCATTGAATTATCTGCTTGCACTTAAAGTACTTTACATGCACATGTAATTAGGTTTCGACATGAATTGTTAAATAAAGATATTTTATTTGTTATATATTACTTCAAGTCTTTCTGAACCGAGAAACCATTCCCATGTTTATATATCTTTCAACCTCTCTTGAAAACAACAACTTTTGTCGTAACAGTATTTACCGATACCCTCCCCATTCAGCACAGTATTGAAATGAAACATCCCTCGTTGTCTGCAAATTAAAAACGCGATCTGCAGTTATTGCAACATCATCAGCAAAAAGTCTAAACGATTATGCCTGTACATCTTCATCTACGATAACGCAACTGTAATCAGTGTTCACGATATCATCCCCAAATTCATCAATGTAAAAGATAAAAAGAAGTGGTGATAGCTGTATAGTGAACATCCCTGTCTTACACCTGAAAGTGTATTGCATCTGAAGGCTACTACTGATTTTACGTTTCCATATATACTTCTTAGTGGTGTACCTATCTCACCATACATACCTTTTCCGAGTAACTTATGATTAAGAGCGACAAAACCCTGTCATATTTTCCTTTTAGCCGGATGGTGCCATGTGTTTGCTAAAAGGTGAGCGTAACCTGCCCCACCGTTGACACCCGTCACAAATATGTGCACAGGCAAGTCAATTGTTCATCTGAAATAACACGGAACATATGGTACAAGTCAAAATAGGGAATTGCACCAGACATCATTATTGTCACTGAACTCCATATATAAACTTTTATCTTCTGTGATTGCAGATAGATTTTTAAAAGTATTGCCTCAGATAATCAGTGAAGACCAAACTGGTTTCATGTCTGGAAGATATATCGGAGACAACATCCGCCTGATATATGATCTACTCTTATACACAGAATCTAAACAAATGCCTGGTATGCTACTTCTAGTTGATTTTGAGAAAGCATTTGACTCTGTCTCCTGGTCTTTTATCTTTAAAACCCTGATTTTTTTTGGATTTGGCGAAAGTATTTCTAAATGAATATCTATACTCTATAAAGATATCAGGTCTAGCCTAATTATAAATGGAAATATGTCACCTTGGATACCAGTCGGCCGTGGCTGTAGGCAGGGGGGTCCATTATCTCCTTATATTTTTCTGCTTTGTGCAGAAATTCTCGCAATTCTTGTGAAAAAAATAAAGACATTCAGGGCCTAACTATAAACGGTAAAGATTATTTAATTGCGCAATATGCAGATGATATAGAATTTCTTTTGGACGGTTCTAAGAGATCCTTCGAGGCTACCATAGACACTCTTGATATCTTTGCAAATATCTCTGGATTAAGAATAAATTTTGTTTAAACTCAAATAATCTGGATAGGCTCCAAGAAAAATAGTAATATCAAATTTCGACAAGACTTAAACCTTGAATGGAACCCTGAAACCTTTAGAATTCTAGGCATAATTTTTTCTACTAATCGAGATAAAATGATTAAACTAAACTATGAAAGCAAAATCTTTGAAATTGAACAAACCATCAAGAGATGGATGAAAAGAATTATAACCCCATTAGGCAAAATTGCAATTATCAAATCAATGCTCATTTCAAAACTTAATTTCCTTTTCCTTACCCTCCCTAGTCCCCCAGATGAATTCCTTAGAAAGATAATTATAAATACTATTCTTTTCAAGTTTTTATGGGATAATAAACCAGACAAAATAAAGAGAACAGTTGCTTGTAAACCTATTTCCCTTGGAGGACTTGGTATGATAGATATTTTTGCATATGTTGACGCTTTGAAAATAATCTGGATAAAAAAGCTACTAAATGTTGATTTGGAAAAGAAATGGAAAAGTTTAATGACTAATACTACTCCTGAATTTCCTGATTTACTATTTATGGGAAGCGATTTTCCACTTAAACTTGCTATAAAAAAATTAAAAAAATTTCGAAAGATTGTTTTACTGCCTTTTCTAAATATAGCAATAAAATAAAACCCAATAATTATGAAGAGTTCCTAAGGGAACCTCTGCTATACAATAAAAATATTATTATAAATGGCAAATCATTAGATAACAAAACCTTTAATCTCAATAACATACACAGCATACATTGCTTGCTAAACAATGATGGAAATGTTATGACATTGCAACAATTCTGTAATAAATACTTCAATATAAATTTTCTTGAATTTTATGGTCAGTAAATACATACATGATACAATTAGGCATTAATAAAGACCTGCATCTGGAAACAACAAACAATACAAATATATCTATTGCCAATCTCTTTTCATGTAAAAAAGGCTCAAAGAAATATAACTAAACCGATGAAAGCTTAAAAGTTATTGACAAATGGGAAGAGGAACTTTTAATGGATATGAACTGGCCTAGCTTATTTATCAGAGCACACAAAACTACTCCAGACCCTAAACTTAGATGCTTTCAGCTTAGATTGCTCCACGGAATTCTACTTGTTAATACTTATTTACTCAAGATGCATATTGTTGACAACTGTCTATGTACTTTCTGTAATGCTGAGCCAGAATCTATCCAACATCTGTTTTGGGACTGTAGGGTAAGCAAAAACTTCTGGAAAAGATTTTCACAATGGATTGAATCCAAGTGTCCACATGCTGGTAAGATAAATCTTACTTCAGACTTAATTCTTTTTGGCTTTTCAAAACATTTCCATACCGATGATATTTTTTATCTGATACTCTTATTGGCCAAATTTCACATTTATAGATGCAAAATGAAAAATAACCAACCAACCATTACACATTTCCAAAATGAGGTGAAATATTATTACCAAATAGAAAAATATAGACACCTTAATACAGCCAAACAGACTGAATTATATATGAAATGGGCTCCTTATGAAAACCTTTTGAAAATATAAACATTTGCTATTCCAAAACTTTACTAAATATATATCCTGCATTCTGTCTTCATAAATACTAAAGCTTCTAGTGAGTGTGAATGTGTGTATGGATGTGTGTGAATGATATGTACTTTCTTAAAAAATCCTGGTCATGTATTTTGACTCTTACCAAAACATGATGTACTTTTACCAGGAACAATTAAAAAAATAAATAAAAAAATTAGTGTCACTGATGCGACATAAAGCCCTCCACATCACTAGTGTGTGAGTAATGTTTTACGCTGCTTTTAGCGATATTCTAGCAAGCAATATCACGGCAGGGGTGTAACATACTGTGCCCATGAGGGGAATCAAACCCGGAACTTCAGCGTGACGAGCGAACACTTAAACCACCAGGCTACCCCACCTCCCTCCACATTACTAAGATAAATCCTTTTTGAAAGTTTTACTGTGGCCTTGAATGTTGTTACCTTGATCTGACAGCTTTCGAGTCTAATGACGCTTTTACAAATCTTGGCAGAAAGAGTAAGTACGATTGTACCTAAAAAATTGTGAAATGTAGACAACAAGGGCGGGAGCTGCAACAATATTGTTCGACATATTGACTGTTGGAAAGTTGAAATCTTTTTGAGAGTGTTTTGTCACTCAGAATCTTTATGCATAGATCTAAATATGAAACAGAGGTTGTTGTTAATTTCAGCAGTTATTAACTTTTCTTTAAATACTTTGTCAGTCGATCTCAAAAATGTCATTTGTATTGTTTTGTTTTTGTTTCGTTTTGTTTTTTTGTGGCAAATATAGCCTTTGTCATTCTGAATATTGATCTTGTCCATTATATTCTTCATCGCACAACGATTTCATTTAATTCACTTAAAACAAACAATAAAGTGGTACGGAGTGTGTTCATTACTATATAATAGTATTCCCTTTTAGGCAAAATTCACGAACGTCATTTTTGATCGCCATGAAGGGATACTAACAATGTACACATTAAAGAAGACAACGAACTCCGAAAATAGGAAAAGTGGAACAGAAATAAGCAGGCAAATTGAACAAAATAAGGGTAGGGTCTCTTTTAATGATCGGTCGGTAACATTTTAATGTTGGCGAATGTAACCTTCAGCCTGTCCCGTCAGCAATGCGCGGGCAACTGGTTACATAGGGACTATACAGTAAAGGCAGTGTTGATCCACAGGATTATCCCCACGAGAACTCCAAGCATAGACACATCCAGACGGTGTACTCCTGGAAACAATAACAGACCGACGATGACAAGAACTGACTACACTAATATCAATGTTCTGACTTGACTGTCAGTGTTTCTATTTATTCTGATAAAGGATTTACAAATATAAAATAAAGGGTCCCTATTCTTGCACCAATCAATTAAGACACATAGTGAGAACAACATTCGGAATGTACGTCATGCAGAGTTACCTGCACTTGATGCTGGCGCCAGTTTGCCCACAGTGTCAATGACAGCCTGGGTCGTCTTCCAGACGAACTGGATCCTCTTGTCCGTGACCTGACTCATGTCATCACATGATTGATGGTAGCAGGTTTTCATGTAACCCCGAAAGTCGGCTGCAAGAATTCGTTTAATTGTATGAGTCCATATTGCACGGATAATAGAATGGTTGATTTGTTTGTTTGTTTCTTTGTTGCTTTACGCCGCACTCAACTATTGTCCAGCTATATGACGGCGGTCTCTAAATAATCAAGTTTGAACCAGACAACCAGATCCCCTTGATGAATAAATGAAAACTGATTTCTTGGTAATGTTGTTTGTTTTTTGACACCGCTTTCAGCAATATTCCAGCTATATGAGTCTGGACCAGACAATACAGTGATGGACATCATGAGCATCCCATGATTTATGGTAGCAGCTTCTCATGTAACCCCGAAAGTCGGCTATTATGTATTTAATTGTATGAGTATAAATTTCGATGAGGATGGGATAAAGAGGATATTTAATGTGTCGAGTGAAAAATGATGTATCTCTCACCCAGAGACGTGGAAAGGAGATTTTCTTTCCAAACGTGTCCCTTTTCCACGTCACGAGATGAGAGATTCGTGGATCGATGCTCATGATATTAATCACTGGATTGTCTGGTCCAGACTCTATTGTGTACAGAGCGCCGTCATATAGCTGGAATATTGCTGATGCGGCGTTAAACAACAAACAATCAAACAAACAAACATCATATTTTACTAGACACATTAAATATCCTATACTTCAATGGCCAAAAGAACAAACGTCAATGCAGAGGAAGCCATCGCGTTATACTCAGAGGCTGGAGAACCTATAGTTACATGTGACCTTTATGCGTCACAATCGAATTCACTTTTTGACACACCAGTGGTATAGGTACCTGCTATGTGTAGAAACCTCCACAGACGCTTCAAAAAGAACAATTATGGCTTACTTTTTTAGGAATAAACTTTATGAGCGCTCGACGATTAAATAAATTGAGTAAACAATTGAGTCTACTGGACAAGACAAACTAGTGATTGAAATCTCAAGTTGACATGCAATCAACCAAGTCACTGAGACCATCCGGCCTATTTATTCGCCTCAAGGATATGTTGCTGGGGACCTATATTCTTACCCGGGATCCCCACGGGTTCGCAATATTTCAGAAATGGTTCCTACTATGAGAGTGTTAACTTGGGTTTTCAGTGTGACGAGCGACTATGGATCGCAAGGCCACGACAAGCTGCACTACAATAATGGATATCTCTGGATCCCCAATGATCGACTGATCTTCATCGGATGGCTATTTTAAGTGAGTGAGTGAGTTGGGTTTAACGCCGCTTTAAACAGTATTCCAGTTATATTGCGACGTGTCAGTTAATGTGGGAGGAAAGCCAGAAGCGATGCAGGTCTCAGACGTTTACCACTTCGGTGAAACCCACGAGCACGGGTATGGTGCTGACAATCGTAGAAACATAACTGGGGCGAATCGGGATTCGAACCCACAATCATGGGTTTCTGGCGTGCCCAAGGGACGCAACTCTGCCTAGCGAATCGCGGCGCCTCAGACGACTGGGCCCCCCGTGCCCCCCGGTGATCAGTACCATGATCCAGGTCGTCGACGTACGACGCCACGCGGTCAACCAAGCCACGATGCATGACCACCCGATTGAGTACCAGGGATCCAGTAATGAAGGTGTGACAACTCTCTGTAAAGGATATAGCAGGGTATAGACATACTACGCTGGATATGGTGGCATTACTTACCAGTGTCTGTGATGAAGATGGCCGGGACGCTATGGTTCCAGAAGGAAAGGTGGTCACTTCTCATAAGGTCCCAATAGGTGGTGATGTCGTCGGGAGTAACAGAGGATCCAGTTATATTGGAGATGTACACGTTCTCCATGCCAAACTCCGGCTGACCCAGAGCTGTGTAGGACTGAATGAAAGAGTTGAGAACACCCGAGTCAAAAGGACGTCCGATGACTGTCAGGAAGTCTCCTTTGTTGTTGTTTGAGGTGAGACTACTCGCAAGGGTGGGAAACAGCTGCAACAAATTCATGAGTGAATAAACTTATTATTTTCACAGCAGTCAGCAAAACTTATATCACGATGGCCTTTCAATAATTGTAGAGTGGACAAGGCAAACCCATAAAAAATACATGCGCAACCATCCAGGTGCCAATGTGACAACATGGAATCAACCAAGTTATCGAGCAGTCCACTCCTTCCAATTAATTGTCTTTTAAGGTAAGCATCAGATAAAGAGTGGGAAAGGATGCAGCTCAATAAATCGCCTACCACAAGCCATAGATTGGTTACATATAATGTGATGGGTCCCCAAGTTGGTTTGGAACCAACCATGTTTTATTGGTTTTTGTTTGAGGCATAATATTTATTTATTCAGCGCCTCAAGACATATTTATTTTTCTGTGAAAGGAGATTGCAACATTTTTATCTCCCTTATCCAGCCAGTGTAAGTAAGGAATATTTCTTCGTAAAAACCTGATGTTATTTCAAGCCTTTTCAGGAACAGATTCTTTTTTTAAAAGTCCCTCTTAGTCTGATTGTACAAACTTTGTATTGATTTTACAAACTTGTCCTATAAAGAAGATTAAATATCAGTTTCTGAAGTTTTAACGTTTGTTGAACTAAAATGGTACCACATCATATCCAGCAGGTAGACTCTGTGATTCCTGGATGTCGTTGAAGTTTAATATGTTGTCCATGACAATGACACCGGTGGTCGTTGGTGGTGTTGACCAGAATGAATACACCCATTCATTCATAAAACTCCTACTTCCACAGCCAAGACTCGTACAGGCGTTATCTGGGGATGGAAACATGCACACTGAAATTGTCTCGCGCTTGACACAACAGGTTGCCTTACCTCAGAACAAATATGTTTAAATATGAGTTAGTGTGTGAATTGTGTTTAACGCCACTTTCAACAGTATTTCAGTTATATCATCAGCGGCATGATAGGGGAAGGCCTGAGGTGATATAGGTTCGTGTCCCAATTTGATGAAGCTAACGAACCTTTGTAGAATCAGTTGTGAAGAATCATAATCAGAGCGAATCTGGCATTCGAACACACGATCATATGACGCAGTCACGACTCAGGGGGCACAACTCTGCACAACGAATTTCTGCGTCTTTAAGGGCAGACTTACCCGTGTTTGTGTGGCGCCCAAACAAGACCATCCAGAAATGTAATAGGCGAGTAATTATAATAATATTCCGATCAAGTGATAAAGTGGCTACTGGCATAACGACGTAGGGAACTTGGTCATTATTACCAATGGTGAGGTGGGGTGAAAGGAGGTTTAACGTAACACCGCGTACGAGATTATTGCACGTACACAGCGACGTCCGTATGCGTGGACACCCCGTTCAGACACAACAACCTTTAACGTCTTTAGAAATGACGCGATCATGGGAAAGACCGACCAATACCCTCCGGCAGAGGTATTAATGGCTAGATGTACCATTGTTGTTCTTATTCTGGTTGAATTCATGTCAGGTCCTAGTTTGTTGGGGAGAAACATTGCTTTACAAATATATTCAAACCTTCCCCAGGCTCCAAGAAGTCGAATGCAACAAACACCACGGTGTAGTCTCGAGTAAACTTGGCGAGATGTTTGGCCGCCTGCAACATGGCCACGACCCCGGCTCCGTTTGCATTGACGCCTGAAGGAAAGATTAATATAGAAGGATACTGTCTGACAAATCACAGCGTTAGTATCGGATACTGACAGCGACAAAAATACTCTACCATTTGTTAAGAGGCGAAACCAAAATAAAGTATAATGTAACATTAGGTATATATATAGTGTCAGTTAAGTATAATATCACTGTTTAATATACACACCAGGGTGATATCCCGTTGTAACCGTCCAGCGCCTCATAAGCAGCTGGGCGGTCGGGTAGCCTAGTGGTTAGAGCGTTCGCTCGTAACGCCAAAGACCCGGGTTCGATTTCCAAAATGGGTACAATGTGTGAAGCCCATTTCTGGTGTCCCCCGCCGTGATATTGCTGGAATATTGCTAAAAGCGGCGTAAAACAATACTCACTCACTCACCTACTTACTCACTCATAAGCAGCGTGGATTGTCCCCCGCCGTGATATTGCTGGAATATTGCTAAAAGCGGCGTAAAACCATACTCACTCACTCATAAGCAGCTTGGATTGTATACTCCGCAGGGAGCTGATAATGAAGTTCGAGTGGTCCCTTGCTTGTCGGAGGATCAGACTGTGGGTCAGTCAAAGGATCAGACTGGGGGTCAGTCAATGGATCAGACTGGGGGTCAGTCAATGGATCAGACTGGGGGTCAGTCAATGGATCAGACTGTCAGTCAGTCAATGGATCAGACTGTCAATCAGTCAATGGATCAGGCTGTCAATCAGTCAATGGATCAGATTGTCAGTCAGTCAATGGATCAGGCTGTCAATCAGTCAATGGATCATACTGTCAATCAGTCAATGGATCAGACTGTCAGTCAGTCAATGGATCAGATTGTCAGTCAGTCAGTGGATCAAACTGTCAATCAGTCAATGGATCATACTGTCAATCAGTCAATGGATCATACTGTCAGTCAGTCAATGGATCAGATTGTCAGTCAGTCAATGGATCAGATTGTCAGTCAGTCAATGGATCAGATTGTCAGTCTCGGTGACTTGGTTTGTCTGGTCCAGACTAGATAGCCTTCACGAAGCTGGGATATTTCTAAATGCGGCGTTAAACAACACATGAACACATACTTGCTGACATATCCCAGTTCGGCAACACAAACACACCTGGAGTTCCTGCTGCAGTGTCGTAATGTGCGGTTACTCCAACTACTCGGTCACTGGCTGTTTTGAAATACTTTCCTTTTGAAACGCCTATTACGTTGTTGCCTGTCACCTGAAATAGAGAAACTAGATTATCAGTTAAAGAAATAAAATAGGAACAAATGCAACAACAGAAATAACTGTAAACGTCCCTGCTGTAAGCTGCTGGATATGAAGAACTTGATGCTCTGTAGTACTGAAGTAAGAGTGGGATACTGGAGGCAGAGTGGAATACTGGAGGGAGAGTGGAATACTGGAGGCAGAGTGGATTACTGAAGGCAAAGTGGAATACTAGAAGCAGAGTGGTATGCGGAAATCAGAGTGGAATACTTGAGGCAGAGTGGAATACTGGAAGCAGAGTTTAATACAATTGACTGAGTGGAATACTGGAGGCAGAGTGGAATACTGGAGGCAAAGAGGAATACTGGGGACTGAGTGGAATACTGGAGGCAAAGAGGAATACTGGAGACTGAGTGGAATACTGGAGGCAGAGTGGAATACTAGGGACTGAGTGGAATACTGGAGGCAAAGGGGAATACTGGGGACGGAGTGGGATACTGGAGGCAGAGTGGAATACTGGAGGCAGAGAGGAATACTGGAGGCTGAGTGAGATACTGGAGGCAGAGTGGAATACTGGAGGCAGAGAGGAATACTGGAGGCAAAGAGGAATACTGGAGACTGAGTGGAATACTGGAGGCAGAGTGGAATAATAGGGACTGAGCGGAATACTGGAGGCAGAGTGGGATACTGGAGGCAGGGCGGAATACTGGAGGCAGAGAGGAATACTGGAGGCAGAGTGGAATACTGGAGGCTGAGTGAGATACTGTGACAGAGTGGAATACTGGAGGCAGAGAGGAATACTGGAGGCAGAGTGGAATACTGGAGGCAGAGAGGAATACTGGAGGCTGAGTGAGATACTGGAGGCAGAGTGGAATACTGGAGGCAGAGAGGAATACTGGAGGCAAAGAGGAATACTGGAGATTGAGTGGGATACTGGAGGCAGAGTGGAATACTGGAGGCAGAGTGGAATACTAGGGACTGAGTGGGATACTGGAGGCAGAGTGGAATACTGGAGGCAGAGAGGAATACTGGAGGCAGAGTGGAATACTGGAGGCTGAGTGAGATACTGGAGGCAGAGTGGAATACTGGAGGCAGAGAGGAATACTGGAGGCAGACAGGAATACTGGAGGCAGAGTGGAATACTGGAGGCAGAGTGGAATACTGGAGGCAGAGTGGAATACTAGGGACTGAGTGGAATACTGGAGGCTGAGTGGGATACTGGAGGCAGAGAGGAATACTGGAGGCAGAGTGGAATACTGGAGGCAAAGAGGAATACTCGGGACTGAGTGGGATACTAGAGGCAGAGAGGAAGAGTGGAATACTGAAGGCAGAGTGGGATACTGGAGGCAGAGTGGAATACTGGAGGCAGGGCGGAATACTGGAGGCAGAGTGGGATACTGGAGGCAGGGCGGAATACTGGAGGCAGAGAGGAATACTGGAGGCAGAGTGGAATACTGGAGGCTGAGTGAGATACTGTGACAGAGTGGAATACTGGAGGCAGAGAGGAATACTGGAGGCAGAGAGGAATACTGGAGGCAGAGAGGAATACTGGAGGCAGAGTGGAATACTGGAGGCAGAGTGGAATACTAGGGACTGAGTGGAATACTGGAGGCTGAGTGGGATACTGGAGGCAGAGTGGAATACTGGATGCAGAGAGGAATACTGGAGGCAGAGAGGAATACTGGAGGCAGAGTGGAATACTGGAGGCAAAGAGGAATACTGGGGACTGAGTGGGATACTAGAGGCAGAGAGGAAGAGTGGAATACTGAAGGCAGAGTGGGATACTGGAGGCAGAGTGGAATACTGGAGGCAGGGCGGAATACTGGAGGCAGGGCGGAATACTGGAGGCAGAGTGGAATACTGAAGGCAGAGTGGGATACTGGAGGCAGAGTGGGAAACTGAATGAAAGGGGATACTAACAGAACAGTTTATTAGTTAAACTTGGAATACTGAAGTTATGGTGGAATACTCAAGGAAGAGCGGTTTACTGAATGAATAACGGAATACTGAAGGCACAGTGGAATACCGAAGGACGAGGGCAATACGGCAAAAAGTGGAATACTGAAGAAAGTTTATATTGAAGGATCACTGTATTAAAACATGTTTACTTGCTACTCTGCTTGGTGCGAGGATAAGATATGGGCTGGTGGCCTCGAGGTCAGCGTTTTTGTCTGAGAAATATGCGAGATGGTACCTCAGGGTTCTACTACTCTAAATCAGAATCAGTTGTGCCCAAGCCGTTTTCGTAGAGCCTTCAGTGCAGATTCAAGATATCTGGCAGCTGGGATTGGATGATATTGTGAAAGATTTTTATGATTTTTTAAATGTACACCCATCCAGTAATTAAAACTGACCATGTTTTTCAAAATTTGATGATGTCTTTTTTAACAAGGTTACTTATGCAGAATGTGAGCACAGATATTTTCAAGTAGGTGACATTTGGTGCGAAACTGCTTTGGTGTGTTCCGCTTCCTGCACCCGGAAAAGGAACTGGCTAAGCTTGACAAAATTACATTGCGGCTTACAATATGCAGGCTAATGCTGGGTAATGTCAAACGTTGATGACGTTACCGTCGAGACATCTGTGGCAAAAGTATGTGTGTGGGTCTCCAAGCCGTAGTCACCGAACTCCTTCAAGATGAAATTCTTTGCCGCCTCTTTGTAGGTCGAGCCTGTGCCGTGGTTCCGTGACTGGGAGAAGTAGTCCTGAATGGTGGTCTTCATCCAGACAGTGTCTACATCAGATGTGCCAAGGACAGACCCTATGGAGGAAATATGGCACACATTACAGGTCACGCACAACACGTTTGGGGATATGATGTTCCTGTACACAGGGGTTGAATTGATTTCCGGGTAAACCTTCAAGAGATAAACCTTACGTGTTTTGAGAATTAGGGGTGTTAATGAGTATTCGATGTCCGGACATTTCATTTGGAACCGACGGCGTTATCGTTATTGGAACTACAAAAGTTATCAGCACATCACCGTATCTATCTCTGTGTCTATTTCAACCATGACGTCATTCTGGAATGCTATGAACAGTATTCCAGTTATATCACGACGTGTCAGCTGAATGTGAGAGGAAAGCTCGAAGTGATGCAGGTCTCAGACGTTTACCAATCCGGTGAAACCCACGGGTATGGTGCTGACAAACCTAGAAACAAAATCGGGTCGAACCGGGATTCGAACCCACAATCATAGGTTTCTGGCGTGCCCAAAGGACGCAACTCTGCACAGCGAATTGCGGCGTCTTAGACGACTGGGCCACCCGTGACCCCTCTGAGAAATAGTGTCACTGACTGATGTAAATATTCTACCTAGAATATTAGATACCATCCCCTCATCGTGACAACTAAGACAAAACACCGAAGTGATGCAGGTCTACCTAGAATATTAGATACCATCCCCTCATCGTGACATCGTGTGTGTGTGTGTGTGTGTGTGTGTGTGTGTGTGTGTGTGCGTGCGTGCGTGCGTGCGTGTGTGTGTGTGTGTGGGTGGGTGGGTGGGTGGGTGTGTGTGTGTACTAAAACATAAAAATTGTCCAAAGTAAATGCTTGAAAAAAATAATTATGCTTCACACAGTTGCAAAAAGACATCATCTGCTGCAAAAAAATCATTGTCGCAAGATGTTTTTTGACGAAGAACATTTAGGCCCATAGTTATAATTAAAAAGATTATGTTTGTGTTGCAGCTGTAACTGAAAAAGATAAATAGAGTCTGCATTCAAAATCCCTCAGCCAGAATGTATAAAGATCGGCCCCCTAAGAGAATGAGTGTAGTATTCCCTATATTCGACATTGTGGGTACATTTAGGTGAATATGTCACTCGAGTGTGAGTTTTAAAGTGTTGTCCTTCAGTGTGTCCGACCACGCGTTGGTTAAAGTAGACCTCGTCTCCCTATACTCTCAACAGTCACACAGGTGTTCGGTCCGACTTGGCCCGGGCTGTCAAAATCAACTTTAAACTGACATATGTATCATCAAATGGATTCACATCTATAAACTAGTATAATATCTACCTAAATACCACTTTATAGTGTCTCAGATCACTGTACTTACGCATTTTTACTGTATTTTCTTTAGAAAATCTCTGTCGGAAGTGTTCGGTCCGACTTGGCCCGGGCTGTCAAAATCAACTTAAACCTCACAGATCTATCTTTAAATGTGTTAACACCTCGAGACTAGTGTTATATCTACCTAAATACCACTTTATAATGTCACGGCACATCGTATTTAAAGAAAACAAGGTGTTTAAAGTGAAGCATTTTTACTGTATTTTCTTTAGAAAATCTGTCAGAAGTGTTCGGTCCGACTTCGCACGGGGTGTCAAAATCAACTTAAACCTCACAAATCTATCTTTAAATGTGTTTACATCTATAGATTAGTGTTATATCTACCTATATAGCACTTTATAAAGTCACGGTACATCGCATTTAAAGAAAACAAGGTGCTCAAAGTGAAGCATTTTTATTGTATTTTCTTAAGAAAATCTATGTCAGAAGTGTTCGGTACGACTTGGCACCTATAGACTGGTGTTATATCTACCTAAATACCACATTAAAGTGTCTCAGAACACTGTACATAAAGAAAACAAGGGGCTCAAAGTGAAGCCCTTTTCCCTTTACATTCTCAACATAGTCTCTATCAGAAGTGTTTGGCTTGTGTTGGGTCCGACTTGGCCCGGGCGGTCAAAATCAACTTTAAACACACAGATGTATCTTCAAATGTGTTTACATCTATAGATTAGTGTTATATCTACCTATATACTACTTTATAATGTCACGGTACATCGTATTTAAAGAAAACAAGGGGCTCAAAGTGAAGCATTTTCACTGTATTTTCTTAAGAAAATCTATGTCAGAAGTGTTCGGTACGACTTGGCCCGGGCTCTCAAAATCAACTTAAACCTCACAGATGTATCATCAAATGGATTCACATCTTTAGATTAGTATTATATCTACCTAAATACCACTTTATAGTGTCTCAGATCGCTGTAATTAAAGAAAACAAGGTGCTCAAAGTGAAGCCCTTTTCCCTTTACATTCTCAACATAGTCTCTATCAGAAGTGTTTGTCTTGTGTTGGGTCCGACTTGGCCCGGGCGGTCAAAATCAACTTAAACCACACAGATGTATCATCAAATGGATTCACATCTTTAGATTATTATTATATCTACCTAAATACCACATTATAGTGTCTCAGATTGCTGTACTTAAAGAAAACAAGGGGCTCAAAGTGAAGCCCTTTTCCCTCTACATTCTCAACATAGTCTCTTTTTATAGGTGTTTGTCTTGTGTTGGGTTCGACTTGGCCCGGGCTGTCAAAATCAACTTAAACCTCACAGATTTATCATCAAATGGATTCATATGTTTAGATTAGTATTATATCTACCTAAATACCACTTTATTATGTCACGGTACATCGTATTTAAAGAAAACAAGGTGCCCAAAGTGAAGCATTTTTACTGTATTTTTTTAAGAAATTCTATGTCAGAAGTGTTCGCGTATTTTTGTGCTTAAGTCACTTGGACATTGTTTATCTTCATAAACTGTTCATAAGAAACATGTCAGACAGCTTTGACATCATTGATGACTTAGTCTTATGAGGTGTGGCTATAAATGCTCATGTGTGTCAGGTTGCCCTTACCTCGTCGTCACATCTGTACACAAAGCAAGTTCATAGTCTAAACTAGGCTACATTTGCATTTCTTTGGCCGTTTACAGATGCCTCGACAACATTTTTCACACAGGAATGAGGTCAACCTTGGCTCTCAACTAGTACAGGTAAACATGTCTATTAATGCTCATGTGTGTCAGGTTGCCCCAACCTCGCCGTCACATCTGTACACAAAACAAGTGCATTGTCTAAACTAGGCTACATATGCATTTGTTCAGCCGTTTCAATAATGCAGTGCGTTGTCACAGCATGCTGCGTAGGTCTGTACAGCACAATGTATTTTATTAGTAATTGGTCGATCCTTCATAAATCATATTTTTGCCATTCATTTCACATATGCCTCGGTAGAATTGAGGTAGGGTAAGGACTTCTGGTCAGATAACAAGGTATTAAGATATCCAGAAACTCGTTTATCCGGACAACATTTTAGAAAAAGCAATTGTCCGGATAAGCGAGGTTCGACTGTATAGCGCGTGATACATGACAAAACAGATGTGTTAGGACCTGATTCGCACTTGCTGAAGGGATACCAATGGACCCTGATCATAATACATTGGTTGCTTATTATTATTATTATTATTATTAAACATAGTGTATTGTCCAAAAAGACAAAGGGATTGGGCACAAGTGCAGCACCACCTTCTCCCTATATACAGTTATACATAATATTGCATAATGAAAATTTTACAATTTACAGTTGAAGCATCACATTGTGGAAACATAGTGCGCAATATAAATTTATATACAGTGCTCATATGAAGGATATGTACAATCTGCTGGAAAGTGAAGACAGTGTGCATCTCATACATATGCTAATATTATACATGTTAGAGTTGTATATAGATTTAACAATATTAATGATTAACAGTTTGGAAACAATAATATGCTAGCTACTGAATCTGTTAGTCGTTTCTATAAATTTGTGTTCAGACAAGAATATTTTTGTATTCAGGAAAACATCTAAGTTTGGATCACAAAAAAAATACTATTTAGAGTTTTTTGTCCTCCAAGATTATCGATAGCTGTCAGTAATGTCTCCATAATATTATCATACAAGGAGCTCCGCATTTACAGGAAATAGTATCAGATAATTAACACGAAACAGGTTGGAATTTAGTGTGCTACAATCGTGTCTCAATCTAGTGTGCAATATGTTTGTAGATCTCTCACCGCAATTATAGTGCATAGGTGGTGATGTAGGCTGCTCAGATGCGACAGCTTTAAAATAAGATATTGACGGACTATCCCTGATTCCTGATGATAGATTATTCCATTGGCCTAATGTGTCTATAATATAAGACCTTTTAAACGTAGATGTCCGTGCAAATGGAACTACAAAATCATGGCGGTTTCTGAGATTATAACTGACCTTCTGTGACATAGCTGGTGGTATAAGATCAGTTACATATGAAGGACATGGCTTATTTATTATTTTATACATAGTTACAAGTTTGTTGACGTTTCTTCTATACGCTTAGATATATGTATCCACGTCACACACACCTAGAACAAGTACACTTATTTGAATATTACTAATATTACATGAATGTTACTGAGCAGTCGGTTAGAGTTTATATCTTTGCGCTTAATCAGCAACATTAAGCCTTTCACGTATATTACAACTTTGTAAGTTAACTTTCCTTTCCAGAAATACCATAGCATGGTGACAGAGATGAACTTCTACCCCAAGAGATGTGTCATTGACTAAAATCTGCTTGTTAATTTGATTTCAAGTGATAGCCTTCACCTGGATGGAATTTATATTTGTATTATTTCAATTTTTCTTTTCATATATATCCCTCTGAATTTTGGGTTTTGAAATAGCATGTCGCAGAAATAACTCCTGTTGGACCCTTAGGCTTGCAAGAATACTCTAATCATTGGCCTAAACATGCCCAATTTGTGCTTCTTGCTTTGTCAGACCAAACCCATACTGTTGAATTTCTCAAAAGCTTTAAAAGGGTTAAAGCTATTTTTGGAAGTATAAATGGGTTAATTGGTGACTACCACAGAAGTAGCAAATGGAGTTATGTCCGATGAAATTCTCTGTTTTGACTTGTGCTAATCGTTTCCGTGTTTTTCGG